GGGGGGGGGGGGGGGGCTCGTGGGGCTCCGCGTCCGCGGAAGGTGCCCTCGTCCATCCTCACAGCTTCCCACGCAGTCCCCACGGGGCCCGCCCCCCTCCCTTCTTCTGACCCGAGGTCACTGCCTCACCACGGCCCCGGGGCGCCAGGCAGAGACGTCAGGAGACGGAGAGGGGCCCCGTGGCCCACAGCCCCGCCCGAGTCGCCTCAGGGCACACAACCAGGCTGGCGGGGCAGGGCGGGCACCCACGGGCTCCCAGGTGCGGACTACGAGGGCCCCCCTTAACAGCCGGCAGAGCCAAGACCCCAGCTTTTCTGACCCGAGTCCAGCCCCGACGCTCCTGACACGGAGGCCCAGGGAGAACACCTGCGAGGGCCCAGCCTGGGCTGCCCGGGGCGCCACGCAGGGTGGGCCGGGGACTGCTGCAGCCCCCGGGCCTTCCTCCACGTCCTCACCTCCGCGCCGGCCGTCGAGGACCTCCGTCTCCGCCGACCCAAGCTCGCGCCACCGACCCCAACCGACAACGCCTCGCTCCCTCAGCCCTCGGCCGGAAATCAGGACACCTCATATCCGGGACCCCTGCCCGGGGTTTTCCGAGGAGGACGGCAGGGGCAGAACGGGTCAGAGGGGCCCGTTTAGGGCACCTGAGAGGGCCGATCTCCTCCCTGTGGACCCTCGCCTTGCCGCCCGGCGGGGTCTGGGCTCGTTCCTCTGCTGCCCAGTCCAGTCGCCACTAACAAGCCTCACCACATGTCCAGGAAGCCTGCCTGCGTGTTCTCGGAGCAGCCAGCAAGCGTGCGGCGGAACCCCCTGCGGTGGGCTTCTCGTCCCTCTGGGTCCTCCCCTTACACCAGGCAACGCCTGGGGCTCCTCCCCCCCCCCCGCGAGCCCCCAGACTAGCCTCGTGTCCCTCAGACTCCCGACAGCGCCTGAAGCCCCACAGCTGACGGCCTGTGCCAGCGGCTTTCCAGGACCGCCGGCACAGGCGGGGCGAAGCCTCTTTGGTGGAGGCCTCTCCCGCCTTCCTCAGGGACCTCGCCCGGAAGCTTGGCAGAGCCTAGGAATCCTCTCTCTTCTGGTCTAAGTCTGCACGCCTCAGAGACAACCTCCTGTCCTGCAGACTCCTGAGGTCCTAGTCCCTACACACCGCGTCCAGGGACCCTGCCTGGGGTGTCCCAGGGATGGCAGCAGGGGCAGGGCGGGGGCCGGGGCACTGACGGGATTCTCACTCTTTCTGCAGGGCGCTGACAGGATCCCTGCTCTGGGGTGGAAAAGCCACTCAGTCCTGGCTCAGAGTCCTCACCTTGACTCTGGCACTGCCTGGGCTGCTTCCCTCGTGGGCTCCAGAACAAGCCGATGCTCCCCGAGAACATCAAGGCAGAAGTGAGCAAACGTTGTGTCAGCTACGACGTGCCACGGCTGCAGAGGGTTGACAGCAGAGGCAGGCAAGCTATCCTCCCAATCTGAGATTGGAGGCATACCCGCAGACTTGTCCAAGC